AGGACTGTTACACAGAGAAACCCTGTCTTGAAAAAACAACAACAACAACAAAAATGCTGGGCAGTGGTGGCGCGCACCTTTAATCCCAGCACTCGGGAGGCAGAGGGAGGCGGATCTCTGTGAGTTCGAGGCCAGCCTGGTCTACAAGAGCTAGTTCCAGGACAGGCTCCAAAGCTAGAGAAACCCGGTCTGGTGGGGGGGAGGGGGGACCAGACCGATCTAGGATACAGATGCTACAAGGAGACCTGCCCTTGCCCCTCCAGGACTCCCCACCCCCACCCCCACCCCCACTTACCCAGCCACATCCTCTTATTGCTCACCTCCCGAGTGGCCTCAGGGCTCCTATAAACCAGGCCCTCAAGCACCATTAGGGCTCCCTCCCAGCGCTCCACGTCCTCAGATGTGGTCAAGGCTGCACAGAACCCAGACAAGGCTTGATTAAGTCCCAGCACTGTCCCTGACTCCAGTGTGCCCAGAGTGTCACAGTGAGGCCGGACAGGTAGCTCTAGGACAAGGTGAAGTGGGGCCAGGGCCAGGTATTGTGGAGTAAGCACAGTAAAACCCACCTTCCACACAGTCTCGGATATACAGGGGTTCCTTGCTGCTCTTCAGCTCTTTGTCCCCTGACATATCATAGGGAATGAACTCATCATCGCTGTAATAAGAAAAACAGACAGGATCTGTCCATCCCCAGTGAGGATTCAGGTGCCCCTTTACTTTTGACTCCTCAAGGGTAAGACCCTGGAGATACTAAAATTCCCTCCCAGAGCCCAACACCTGAAGGAGATGGGCACGTGGAAGAGCAGATGGCACTGCCTCAGACGAGCAGTGGGGAGGGAACTAGGAAACCAGCACCTATGATCAGCCTCCTCCACACATGACCAGAGGGCCACCTCAGCCAACCCCTAGACCACAGAGGCCAAGGAAACCTGCCCTACCTGTCGAGCTCTGAGTCAGAGCCCTGCGGCTGAGCTGGAGGCACATCACTGGCCACTGTCTTTTCAGGTGTCGTTACAGGGGTCTCCATGGCAACTGGCAGGGATGAACCTCTAGGAAACAAGAAACAGCAAGGGTCACCCAGGTCAGCCTAGCACACCACATAGCCCAGAAAGGTTTCTATCATCTGCCCATGTCTCCTCTAACTTTTGTCGGAAGGACTCAGGATGGGGACTGGGAACATGGGGACCCTCACCCTGTCTCCGAGGAGCAGGCGCCCACAGGCCGGGGCGTGGCCAAGGCCAGCATCTCGCGGCTCATCTCGTCATCTTCATACTGTTGCAGATACACTGGAGTCAGTGAGGCCCACGGCCAAGGATGCCCCTCAGCCACAGTCAGTCACAGCCAGCCCTCCTCACATGCCACTCCATCTCAGTTAGCAGCCTGGCCTTAGAAAGCCAGTCACCTTTTCTAAAGCAGCTTCTGATATCCACCTCAAGCTAAGCACGGTGCCTGATGTGCTGAGCCTAGGAGCCTCTCCCTTCTTCAGGATTTGGAGACCCTTGACTGCTGACAGGGCTCAGCAGAGGCTACATCCATAGACTCACAGTTAAGCCACGTGGCGCCCAACACAGTCAAGGCCTGTACTGTCCAACCTGGTAGTGCCCATGCCAATCAGTGGTCAGCAGAGAATACGCCCCCATGCACTCCCAGCCCAGAGCAGCCCTATTGTCCACAGGGTTCAGTGTATCCAGGGCCAGCAGACCAAATCCAGGCAGTGGTCCTTTCACCCATCTAACCAATCCAGGAACACATCTTGGGGAATACGCTGTCACAGACTTGGTCCTGACCACATACAGACTCACTTCTGCCACCACCCACGGGAGCCGGAGTGCTCTGCACACTGAGCCCTGGCCCTCCACCACAGGATACTCCTCGATCCTAGACCCCAGAAGAGCGAGGAACTTGAGGAACAGGTCTATCAGCAAAGGAGCCCCGGAGCCCCGTTACCTGGAGGACATAGATAAGATAGCCTGCTCACTTGGAATTTCAGCTGAGGCCCCTCAGGATGGATCCTGGAGCTGATGACCTCGGCCACAATCATGCCCAAGCGACGCACAGGGGGCAGGCTGCTGTCGAGACGGCACTTCACACCTGCCATCATGCTGGCCAGCAACTCTTAAAGCAGCAGACATGAGAGTCCTGAAGGGCTCCTCAGTGTCAGGGGAGGGGTGTGCCCACGCCACGGCCCGCTTACCATCCCGGATGTCCTGCAGCTCCAACGCCCCGAGGTGCGCCAGGCAGACCAGGATGGCCTTACTGATGTAGTGCTGCTGCTCCAGGGGGGCGTGACGGACAGCACTGCTGTTGCCCCATGTCTCTAGCAGCTCCTGAAGCACCTGGCAACCAGCAGAGCCTCAGCCTGTCCAGGCAGCAGCTACCCTACCCACAGCCACCCATGTCTCAGGTCAGGGTAAACACTCTCCTAAGGGGTTCAAGCATAAATGAAGCTGGACCCCAGCCTTCCCGTTAGAAGATACTCCCTCTATTGTCTTTCTCCCAAGACCACCACAGGCTTAGTGGGTCAAGTGGTACTTACCTGTATGAGGAGTGGCCGCCGCTGACTGTCTAAAGCCAGGTACCCCAGCAGGCTCTGCAGCATGGGTGTCTACAACAAAAATGGGTCCTGTCTACCAGGCAGGGACTGCTCCCTGCCTCCCCTACAAGGGCCTTCGGAGCTGAAGAAGAGGAATAGGATGAACGGAGCTGCCAAGCTCCAGCCTCCCACAAAACCAGAGAGCCAGCTTCCCTCCCAGGCTTACCGCCTCAACACAGCCAGTTTCAGCTGGTAATTGTTCTACTTTTCATTTCAACCAAACTTTTAAAATTCAATGAGTTATTTGCCAAATGCAGACTTTCTGGCTCTCATGGTAGAGGAGACCTTCAATGCTGGCCTCTCAGCCCAGATGCACAACAGCATCCTGTGTCCCACTGCAACTGTCTGGGCTGCTTCTTTTCCTAAGACCTGAAGTCTGTCTCATTATTTCTGTCTGAGAGAGAGAGAGAGAGAGAGAGAGAGAGAGAGAGAG